ACACAAGAGAAGTCAGGAAGAAGTTCGGTGAAGGAGGCCGCGTGCGTCTTGTGTGTGCGTGTTTTGCGGGGGGGAGCTGCAGAAGGCGCAGCCAGGGAGGAGGCGAGCGGAAATGTTCAGGGTAGCCAGATAGCAGTCGATCCGAATTCCCTTGAGGACGCATCGGCCCCGCGCCGACTGGCCGGAAGCCTGGGATTCGCCGCACGAGTTCGCTTGGTGACCACTTGCTCGTGTGGCGTTCCAGGCCTGCCATGCAGCGTTACTTTGGCATGCACGGCCACCCGACGGTGACCGTTTAGATCGATTATGCTTCCTTATTCAAGAGGCTTACATCATGTTGCCGACCACCGAAAGGTAAATGGGGCGGACGCACTCTGGGCTGCACGGATTGCCCGAGTAGGGGAGCACAGGAGGACAACGGAGATTGGTGTCATACCCAGGAGGTGCAAGGAGGCAAGGGTGAGGAGGAGGATGGGCAGGATGCTGGGGAGTTCACGTGCCCATTTCCTCAGCAGTTGGCCTCTTCTTGGGGTGGGTTTTCCTTGAGGGCTCCAAGAGGCAGCAGGATGACGCGGAGGCGAACGAGTAAGAGGAGAGGTGAGGAGGACGAGGAGGATGAGGAGAGATGAGGACGAGGAGGAGGACCAGTGCAAACCCAAGACTCATCAACGATGTTGCAATAAACCCTCCCTCCAAGTTCCCTCTTCACAGGTCCCTACAAGGATCCATTGTCACTGAGGGAAGTGCCCCGTTCGAAGACAACCGTTTGAAAATTCCGAACCGTGCCAGAACACATATCGTGGGACTTCAACGCCGCGAACCAACGTTACTGTTGCGTCCTGACGATCCTGAATCGTGCCAGAACACCATTCCTTGCAGTTCAACACCGCGAATCAACGTTACTGTTGCGCCCTGACAGTCTTGCATCGTACCAGAGCACCATGCCTGGACGTCAACCATACGAGTCCTTGAAACTGCTGTAAACTCCTACTCTATGGAGCAATAGTGATGAAAAAGGGAGCTGGGAAACGGAAACCAGGAGCCAGGAACCGGGAACCAGGAATTTGGAATTGTGAATTGAGAACCGGAAATCGGGAACCGGGACCCGGGAAACAGGAACCGGGAACCAGGAGCCGGGTGCCGGGATTTTGGAGTCGGGAAGTTGGAATCGGGAACCGGGAGAGCCGCGGGCTGAGAATTGGGAACCGGGCGGGAGCCAGGAACGCCGGACTTGGGACATGTGTTCGGGAATTGGGCAATTGGGAGAGGGAAAACGAATGATACATTTATAGAAAGAGGGGGGTGAAAGAGAGAGAGAGAGAGATAAGGAAACAACACAAAGAGATGAGCAGAGAAGGAGATGGCGACAGTCATGCCTGAAGCTACACCCAGAGATATCAAAACGTACACAGTACATCTACGTACACACGTAAGTATACACGTATGCACTCAATCCCTACACAGATAAATGGTTACGTATAATTATGTGCGTATATATGTACGTATGTCGCTGTAGAAGAGGGATGGAGGTAGACAGAGAGGGAGAGGTAGAGATAATTGCAAGATTACGCATGTACATGTATTGATGTACTGTGCTATAGCTCAGCTCATTTGATTCGTCGTACCCAGGCTCAGTCATAAAACAAGATTGTACCAAGACGGTTTTGTATTTCGTATACGCATACACATAAAATCGTATAGCTGCAGACAGAGGCATGGAGAGAGGCACGAATCAAACCTAAGTGCGTACACGTGAATGGGTGAATACGTCCGTGAACAGAGAATCGAGAACCGATACACATATACAAATATACACATATAACAGATGCGAATATGCACACAGATATGTGTAAATGTACACACGTACCTACATACAGACAGACAGACAGACAGACAGACAGACAGACAGACAGACAGACAGACAGACAGACATACAGATGTATGTATTTGATCCTGGGTCTCTGCACGCACCATGAACCCCCCTTCTCTCTTGGAAGACGGCAAGAAGAAAGGGGCGGTTCAGGTGCGTGCGCCAGCCGTGGAGGCGGAGGTTTCGGAATGGGTTGGTTCGTGTTTTGGAAAGGAAGGGTGTTGAGTACTGGGTGTTGTGTTGTAGACGGAGGGGGTAGAGTCGCAGGTTTGTTTCAATTTCAGTTTTGGGAGGGAGCCCTTTGAGTACTGGGTATTGCGTTAGAGACGGAGGCTGTTGAGCACTGGGTGTGTGATTTATACGGGGGGGGAGTATACACGGGGGGGGGTAGAGGGTTTTTCGAAAGTTGACTTTTGGGAGGGAGCCTGTGTAGTACTGGGTGTCGTGTTGGAGACGAAGGCTGGTTTGCATTGGATGCTGTTTTGAAGACGGGGGCGGTAGAGACGAAGGTGATTTCCAAGTTCACTTTGGGGAGGGAGCTTGTTGAGTTTTGGGTGTTGCGTTGGAGACGGAGGCTGTTCAGTACTGGGTGTTGTGTTGTATACGGAAGGGATTGAGTACAAGGCTATTCAAGTTCAGATTTGGGAGGGCCTGTTGAGTATTGGGTGTTAAGTTGGAGACGAAGGCAGGTTAGTACTGGGTATTGCGCTGTAGACGGAGGGGGGAGAGTAGAAGGTGATTTTCAAGTTCAGTTTGGAGAGGGAGCATGCTGAGTCTTGAGTGTTGTGTGTTGGAGACGGAGGCTGTTGAGTATTGGGTGTTGTGTTGTATACGGAGGAGGTTGATTGGAAGGTCATTTTCAAGTTAAGTTTGGGGAGAGTGCCTGTGGAGTATTTTGTGTTGTGTTAGAGAGGAAGGCTGGTTAGTACTGGGTGTTGTGTTGTAGACGGGGGGGGTAGAGTAGTAGGTTATTCAATCGCTTCGCTCATTCCGCCGGCCCATATTGCCTCGCCGCTGTCGTTTGTCGGGGAAGGCTGGACTTTTCAGTTCCTGGTCACCTTCTTGGGCCCCTCTTGGGGCCGTTTGGGGGCTCTCTTGGGCCGTCTTGTGCACCTCTTGGGCTGTCTTGGGGTTATATTGGGCCGTCTTGGGGCTGTCTTGGGGTCCTCTTGGACCCTCTTGGGGCGATCTTGGGAGCCTATTAGGCCAACTTGGAGCGTCGGGAAGCCAAAAAAGGAGAAACCCGAAAATGTGTCCAAAACCTTAGGAAAATCAATGAATGTTGCCTCTTGGGGTCCTCTTGGGAGTGGACGCCTTTGGGGGCGTCTGGAGGCCATTGTGGGCGTCTTGGAGCGATCTTGTGGCATCGTCGGCCGATCTTTCGAGGACTCCAAGGGCTCTTGGACCGTCTGGGCGCTCTCTTGAGGCCGTCTTGGGCGCCTCTTGGGCCGTCTGGGGGGCCTCCGGCATCTCTGACGGGCACTTGCCGGGACTTTGGCGGGGTAGTTGTCGCTTCGGGGGCCCCAGGGGCCGCCTCGCGCGCGCGAACTTGTTATATTGTTAATTTGTTACCGGAGATCTTAGCACGCCTCTGGCCCGTTGGGCCGAAGAATTTTCAAGCTCAGTTTAGAGAGGGAGCCTGTTGAGTCTTGGGTGTTGCGCGTTGGAGACGGAGGCTGTTGAGCACCGGGTGTTGTGTCGTATACGGAGGAGGTTGACTGGAAGGTGGAGAGACCTTGTTGAGTATTTGGTGTTGTGTGTTGTGTCGGAGACGGAGGCTGTTGGGCACGGGGTGTTGTGTTGGAGACGGAGCCTCCAGGCCCCTGCCTTCCTTCGACCTGGGGCGCGTCCCGGCCAGAATCTCGGCGCGGATCCCTGGCCGCGGCGGGGTGAGGCCTCCCTCGAGGCCCAGAGCAGCGAGAGGGCGCGAGTGGACGCTGGAGAACACCGATCCTCGACGTCCCCCCCCCCCTTCGAGCCGAGCCACTTGGAGCGTTCCATAAAGTGCCTCGAAGGACGTCGGACGTAAAACGAGGGCGGCTCCCCTAGCTGAAGCCAGCGCAAGGCTGGCGGATGGCGGAGGAAGCAAAAGTCGACCTCCCAAGAGATGACAACATGCTTGGGTTCAGGGTTTCTGGAATCGGCCATACGCGTGGACTTGGCATCGTACGCGCGCGCGCGCTCGAAGTGTTGGCACGCCGCCGTGCCGCGGCGAGGCCAAAGAGGTCAGCATAGTCTCGCCCGTCGTCTCGACGAACGACGCGCAGTCGAGCCCGGAGCCCTCTCCTCTCTCTCTCTCTCTCTCTCTCTCCAGGTCTCCCTCTCTCGCATCCCTGCGGCCAACGCCTGCAAGACAGCCTGTGTGGGTGTGGGTTGCTTGCCCTGCACCCTGCATCGTAGCGGGCCGCACGGCTTGCCGCCAGAAGCGCCCGAGAATCGCCGAGCGCCAGTTGCACGCTGATCTCTCTCCTTTCAGGAGGGGAACAAACACACAGACAAAATTGATCGTCGATTCCCAAGAACATATGGAAAATATGGGAAGTGGGGGGGGAAGACAGAAATCCAGAAAATAAAGGAAAATATGGGGAATCTGGTTATTTGTGTCTATTTATTTGTGTGTCCCAGTTCCCCTTCACTCGCTCCCTGTCTCTTTCCCCGGGCATTGACAAAGGGGTCACTGCCACCTCTCGAGCGGGTGGTAATGGGGGATGACCCATACGGGGGGTGAAGAAAAAAGCCCCAAAGGGACCCTTGAAGGCCCCTGTTGGGCACCAGCTGGCTCCAAAAGGGGCATCGCGAGGAGGGAGGATCAAGGATCGACCAGGCTCTCGACGCTTCTGGGCGCGCATCTGGGCGTCCTGGGGGGTCCAGGGGGGGCCGACTTTCCCAAGGGGGTGGCGACCCCGCCTGACCCCCCTCGGTTTTGCCTGGCCTGTCCCTCGGTGCCACAGGGATGGGGCAGCCAGTGGTGGTCGGAGGGCAAAGTCGACCTGCTTCTAGAAGGCCAGCATCTCGGGCCTATGCGAAAGACCGCTCTCACGCTCTAGCCACAAGCGTCTGTGGACACGTTGGGTGACGCTGCGCACACAGACACATGTGGGGCGGATATGTCTACGGCCAACACGGCCGTTGCGCCCGGCGCAGTGCAGGGTCGGAGAAGCGATAGATCCGCTTACCGTGTGTTCCTGTCGGGTGTTCGTCTTTGTCCCCCTTCTTGCACACCGGCCGATTAGCCTTTCGGTTGCCCCGAACAGCCACACGCTGAAGCGGACTGCCTTTACCTCGCCGCCGACGAAAAAAGTTCCTGTCGGGTGCTTGAAGTGCCCCTGGCCCAAGGTGCCCTCAGGATTTCCAAGGATGCCCCCACGGCCTCCAGAGCACCCCTCACGAGGCTCAGGGAGCACTGGGGGCTCCAGCATGCAGGATGGACCTCAAATAGATATTAACATGGGTTTATAACGGTCTGTAATTATTGACCAGGGTTCATAATGTCTCGCCCGGAACATTATGAACCTGGGTTTAAATGTTCTGGGAATACTGACTGGGGTTCATCAGGTTCCCCCCGGACATTTATAAACCCTGGTTTACAATGATCTGGGGATATTGACCCCAAAAACATACGAACCTGGATTCATACTGTTCCAGGAATATTGGCTGGGGTTTACAATGTCCCGGGAATTGTGAACTCGGCTTTCGTCATTCCAAAATGATTATCATTTTCCCCCCAACCCCCGGATTCCTCACCAGGTTCATTATTCCAGGAGATAAGAAACCCGGCTTCATAATGTTCCGGGATTGTTGACCACGGGTAAATTCTTCTGGAATGATAATGATTGAGCCTGGGGGGCGCCGTTTAGGGGTACGTTCTGGCCTGAAATAAACTTTGGTTCATAATGTTGGAATATTAGATTTAGGTTGGTTATTCTGGAAAGATAATGATTCGGCCGGGGGGGGTTGAGCCCGATCCATTCACAGGACAATATTCTATAGGTTATCATCTGCAGATAATGAACCTAGGTTTTCATTCCTAGATAATAAACCACGGTCGACCAGGATTTCACACCTACCCTCCCAGCATGGAGCGAAAAGCCGGTGGCACCTTGGGCCAGGGGCACCTTTCGCAACCCCCGGTCCTGTCCCAGAGCAGGTCCCACACGGCACTCCAGAGTGGTAGACTTACAATCCGATTCGATGCGCTTCGACTCGCCGGCTGGGCCTGCGATTCCAGTTCGATGCGATCCAGCTCTATTCACCGGCATCGGCCAGGGCCAGCCGGAAGGGAAGCGGGGCGCGGCGATTCGATGCCGATCGACAAGATGAATTCGTCTTGAAGAACTTCGGCACGAATGCGCAACCGACTGCTCGAGATGGTTGAAGTTGGAATTCGCCCGGTTGCCAGGAGTCCCGGGATTTCTTGTGTTGGTCCGCGCCTGAGCCGATCCGATGTCGCCATCCGATCCGATGTCGCGATCCGCTTCTCTTTCTCCTCCTCCTCCCTCCTCCTCCTCCTCCTCCTCCTCCTCCTCCTCCTCCTCCTCCTCCTCCTCCTCCTCCTCCTCCTCCTCCTCACGCTTGCCTCCTCCTTCCTCCCTCCTCCCTCCCCTCCTCCTCCTCCCTCCTCATCCTCATCCTCATCTCCTCCTCCTCCCTCCTCCTCCTCTCCTCCTCCTCCTCCTCCTCTCCTCCTCTCCTCCTCCTCCTCCTCCTCTCCTCCTCCTCTCCTCCCTCCTCCTCCTCCTCCTCTCCTCCTCCTCCTCCTCCCCTCCTCCTCCCTCCTCCCTCCTCCCTCCTCCCTCCTCCCTCCTCCCTCCTCCCTCCCTCCTCCCTCCCCTCCCTCCTCCTCCTCCCCCCCTCCTCCCCCCCTCCCCCCGCCCCCCCTCCCTCCCTCGGCGCCGCCGGCCTGAACTTCTGGTCTGCCAGGTGCCCCCGGCGGGGCGGCGCGGACGCCTCGGCCGACCCGCCTTGGGGAGGGCGGCGCCCTGAGTCGGCCCAGGCCCCCTCGATATAGCACACAGACACAAGGAATCGTCGTTCCACAAGAAAAGATGGGACAATATGGGGAGTGGGGGGGACGACGAAACGCAGAAAATATTTGAAAATATGGGGAATCCTGTTATTTGTGTCTATGTCTTTGTGTGTCCCAGGGCCCCTTCAATCTTCAAAACTCATATGTTTTCAATAATATCTCAATATTTCAAGCTTTCAAGTTTCACCATTTTCAAGATTTTCAATCGCATCTTGACGGGAGGTTTTCGACATTCTCGGCCTCTCGGGGCCCTCATTCGGCCCCGAGACCGTCGAAGAACGACTCGGGATGAGAAACCGGCCCCTGGGAATGGGCCGAGATCTTTGGGGGTCGACGTCATGAAAGGATGATGACGTCGGGGGCTGGGAACCGACCTTCATCCCCACTGGGCCGTGGCAACCCGATCCCCACCATCCCACACCCCTCCAGTTGGGGTCTGCCCCTCGGAACCCGGCGGAAAACGCCTCCATCCCCATCTGGGGGGCGAGAGATCGGGGGCCCAGACCACGCCAGTGGGGACTGGGATCGGCGAGACGGTGCTCACTGGGGGGCCAGCGGGGAAGTCGGGGGCCACTCGCTGGCCCAGCCCATGGGATGCCCCTTAGAGCGCGCGGCCCCAGGTGGCCTACGCTTGGCGCCCTCTCTTCGGGAAGGCCCTTCGGGGCGCGGTCCTCAGTGGACCCCCTCCCAGTCAGCCTACGTGGCCCCGACACAGGGCCGTCAAGGAGCGACGCAGGATGCCCAGACTCCCTCGGGTCGTGAAAAAATCACGACGGGAGGTTTTTCTATATGCTCGGCCTTTCGGGGCCCTTTCCAGGCCTCGGGAGCGTCAAAATTATCCTGGCGAAGGTCCCAACCATATGCAGTTGTGGGTACCGTAATTGTGAATACCTGCTTCGGTGAAGCTCCCTATGGGGCCACGAAGCGCTGCACTGGGCGGGGGGGAACGCTGTACTGTGTGGGTGGTGTGCCGAATTGGGCTTCCGGGACGCATGCGGACGGTCCCACTGAGGGCTTCGGTGGAGCTCCCCATGGGGCCACGAAGCGCTCTACTGAGCGAGTGAAAATGCCAAAGTGGGTTACTGGGACGCATGCGGACGGTCCCACTGGGGGCTTCGGTGGAGCCCCCATATGGGGCCACGAAACGCTGCAATGCGCGGGTGAAAATGCCAAATTACACTTCCCGGACGCATACGGACGGTGGCACTGGGGCCTTGGGGGCCACGAAACGCTGCACTGGGTGGGTGAAAATGCCAAATTGGGCTTCTGGGACGCATGCGGACGGGGGCACTGGAGCCTTCGGTGGAGCTCCCTATGGGGCCACGAAACGCTGTACTGGGTGGGTGAAACGCAGGGAGGAGGGGGAGAGGGCCACGAAACGCTGTACTGGGTGTGCGGGACGCATGCGGACGGTAGCGCTAGTGGGGCTCCCTATGGGGCCACGAAGCGCTGTTTTGGGTGTGCGGGACGCACGCGGACGGTAGCATTGGGACCTTCGGTGGGGCTCCCTATGGGGCCACGAAACGCTGTACTGGGTGGGTGAAACGCAGGGAGGAGGGGGAGGAGGGCCACGAAACGCTGTACTGGGTGTGCGGGACGCATGCGGACGGTAGCACTGGGACCTTCGGAAGAGCTCCCTATGGGGCCACGCATGCAGGTGAGTCGCAATCGGCGGCCGCGGCGGTCGAGCGGCGCTCCAGCTCGATCCTGCCTCGAACCCCACTTCCCCCATCCATACTCCAAAAAGGGTAACTTGGGACAGGGCCTCTCACGGGTGGTTTCTTGGGAGGTCGAATCGGACTCTGCGCTTCGAGCGCTCTGGGCCCGTCCTCCCTCGGAGCGGTGGCTCGCGCGGCCCCGTCGCTGGACCTCGGTCGTGCTCCAGTGACGGCCCTTCGGGCTCGAGCTCGGTGGTCTGGCCCAGCGTCGTCGCCTTCTCGGGGTCAGATTTCCGGAGCTGGTCCAGCCGTGGCGAGAGGTGCGGGGTTTTCGGCGACATAGCCCGAAGGGCTAGACGGGGGGGCGCCGAGGGGGCCCCGAGGGGGGGTGTCCCATCTTTTCTTTTTCTTGGCCTGAGGCCGGGCCCTCTGCGGGATGGAGCGCCCACGGGGGCTCGGCCCAGTGACCGTCCAGGCGGTTCATCTCGAAGGAGTGTTGGGGGCGGCCGAAGTGCGAGCTATGCTAGTAGAGCATGTCGGCAGATGGGATGCACGGCAGTAGCACAAGGCCCCCTGAAGCCGGAGCGCGGACGCCATATGAAGTGCCGAGATGAGCGGGGACGAAGACAGGCGCTTCTGGTCTGAGCGTGAACTCGGCGTGGGGCTGCGACCAAAAGCCGGGCGGGATCTTGGGCTACCACGCCCTGCCGCTCGAGGGTGAAGGCCAACGGTAGCGAATATCCCCGGTAGACCTGGCGTTCACCTGGAAAGAGATGGTTATGAGGTCGTCCATTGCGATGCGCCCTCGACGGGCTGCGTATGCCAGCCTGCGGTACTGTATGCCTTCATGTAAGAATGAGCCTCGAGCTGTGGAGGCCTAGGCCCGTACGGGCCCGTAAAATCTCGTTGCCGATGTTATTATAATCCTCGTTCATGATGCGGCGCTGGCTCTTGGTCGCGGGCATCCTCTCCGCCATGGCGGCGCCACGCCTGGGCGCGGCCTGGGCGGGGCGTAGTCCCCGGTTCCTCGGCCACAGCACTTTGAGCCAAAATGGCTACGGACTCCTTCCTCCTCCTCCTCCTCCTCCTCCTCCTCCTCCTCCTCCTCCTCCTCCTTCTCCTCCTCCTCCTCCTCCTCCTCCTGTTCCTCCTCCTTCCTCCTCCTCCTCCTCCTCCTCCCTCCTCCTCCCCCTCCTCCTCATCATCATCCTCCTCCTCCTCTTCATCCTCCTCCTCCTCCTCCCGCTCCTTTTCCTCATCAATAATTTTTCCCTGTCGCACCCCGAGGCCGGTCGAAAGGGCGGACCAAGCGTTTCGCTTGAGACTTCCTCACCACTTATGACCCTGAAGCTTAACAAGTGGCAACAGTTCCGCAAATGTAGGGCAGGTGGTTTTCAAAAGGTGGCTCTCGCCTTGGCATCGCGCACATTCTTTTTTTATTGTGGGAGATTCACGGATTCCTGTGGCCAACGTACCAGAAATGGCGCTTTGGAAAAAATATAGATTATGAGAGTGCAACAGTTACGTTGATTCGCGGTGTTGAACTCCCAGGAAAGTCGTTCTGGCACGATTCTGGATCTTCAAGACGCAACAGTCCGGTTGATCCGTGGCGTTGGAGTTCCGAGAATAATGTTTTGGCATGCTTCAGGGTCTTCAAGCGGTTGACTTCCAACGAGGCAGTTCCTTCAGTGGAAATAAATCTTTGTAGGGGCCTATGAAGAGGGAGCTCGGAGGGAGGGTTTATTCCAACATCGTTGACGACTCTTGGGTTTACACTGGTCCTCCTCCTCCTCCTCCTCCTTCTCCTCCCCATGTTCCTCCTCATCCTCGTCCTCCTCGTTCCCATCCTCATCCTCACCCTCCTCCTACGGGATTGCCTGCACGCTAGTCTTGACTCCCAGATCCCAGTCTGCTTTGGGCGCCCTCCCACTCCGAGAGTCGAGCGGCCTCCCCTCGTCCATCCTCTCTCCGGTGGGCAGGCGCAGACCCCCAGGAACTTCTAACGGAAGCCTTTTGGCAGCCTCCGGGGGCCTCCAGGGGTCAGGACGCGGGGCGAAGGCAGAGCCCCATCCTGGACCCCGACAGGCCGGTCTTCGCGGGACGGCTGCAGCGGCAGCTCGCGCCAGATTTCGGGTTGGGCCTCGTCGTGTTCGTGGCGGCCCGGCAGGCCAACCCGAGTCCCCCGAGCCGCACGTCGCCCCGGCTCCTGCCCCTCGTGGTCGTTGCAGTCGGCGCTTGCCCCAGCCGCACCTGGAGCCTCTGGCGGCTCGCCCGAGGAGCCTCGCCCCAGCAACAAGAGCGAGAAGTTGGCCCTGCACATGGCAGCGGCGAAGCGCGTGGCGTCGCAGCACCCTCCAGATGCAGGCGGCGGCCTTCGTCGAAGAACCAAACACGGCATGAACATGAACTGTTGGCGGTCCGCCAAACGTATATGTTCACGCTAGTTGTTTGCCCCTCTACTTTGTGACCTGCCTGCATGAGCCACCCATTGCATGTGCACCAGCATCTCTCTCTTTCTCTCTCTCTCTCTCTCTTGAACAGCTCCTCGCGCACAGCAGGTCATGTCGCTCTGTCGGCAGATTAATCGCAGACTTCGCCCTGAGGGTGTTATTGCCTGATGCGCAGGCGCAGGAGCACACCGCAGAATTTGCATGGGCCTCCATGAAGTTCGAACGTGCGCGTGGCATGTAAAGTAGGGTAGAGTAGAATAGAGTAGGGAGACGCAGATCAGACTGGAGTACAGTAGAGTCGAGTCGAGTGGAGAATTGCAGATGAGTAGAGTAGAGCAGAAATAGAGTAGGGCAGAGCTGAGTAGAATAAAGTATCAGCAGAGAAGAGTGGAGTATAGTAGAGAACGAAGAAAGTAAAGTAGGGTAAGGTAGAGTATGTTTGGGCACGGTCGGATACAGTACAGTAGGGTGAAGCACAGTAGGGTAAAGTAGAGTAGAGTAGAGTATAGTAGGGTAAACTCAGGCTAGGTGCGCAAGCGTCTTATCTGACGTCTTACCCATCCCTACCATCCCTTACCATGGCGTAGATCTCTCGATTAACACAGTCGGATGTTGAGCAGGGCAATGATCCCGAAAAGTTGCGAGACGCACGGTAGTGCACGGCGTAGCACGGCGCAGAACAGCACGGCAGAGCGCAATATGTTCGGAGTGAACCAGACATGACGCAAAACGGACATGTAAATGAAAAGGAAAAGAGCGTAAGCGTAAAACCAGAGCCACCGTTGTAGCAGGAACACGATTTGGGAGATCCGCAACCAAAAAATGAGGTCAGCGTTGCAGCGGGAGTAGAATTTGGAAGGATTGGAAGTCAGAGAATGGAGCCAACGCTGTAGCGGGAGCGCCATTCGGGAAACACAGAAAACGCTCGGATCGGAAAAAAACAATTATGACCGATCACCTTTGGGGGATCCTATGTGTAAAAGATAATGTCTGTTCGCAGTGACTTGTCCACTCCACTGCTCGCGCAAACATCCCACCCACCCACCCGCAACTTAGTTTGCAAAATCTCTTAAGACCGTGACGGTGGGTACCAAATGGCACTTGACAACGACAGCGACGCCGACGACGACAGCGACAACGACGACGCCGCCGCCGACAACGACTACGACGACACCGACGACGTCTCCAACGACTTCGACGACGCCGACAACGACGACGACGACGACGACGACGACGACGACGACGACGACGACGACACCGACGACGACGACGCCGACGCCGACGCCGACGCCGACGACGACGACGACGACGATGACAACGACGACGACGATGACGACGCCGACGACGACGACAACGACGACACCGATGACGACGACGACGACGTCTCCAACGACGAGGGAGGAGGGCAGACGACGTCAACGACGCCGACGTCGACGACGACGACGACGACGGCGGCGACGACGACGACGACGACGCCGCGGTCGACGATGACGAAGACGAGGACGACGCCGACGCCAACAACGACGACGACGACGACGACGACGACGTCGCCAACGAAGACGACGACGAGGGAGGAGGGAGGACGACGACGGCGACAATGACGACAACGACGACAACGACGAGGGAGGAGGTAGGACGGCGACGAGGCGAACGACGAAGAAGGAGGAAGGACGGCGACGCCGACGACGACAACGACGAGGGAGGAAGGCAGACGACGTCGACGACGACGACGACGACGACGACGACGACGACGACGACGACGACGACGACGGCGACGAAATAGGAGGGACGACGACGAGACGCCGACGACGACGACGATGACGGCGAGGAAGAGGAGGAGGAAGGACGACCACGGCGACAACGACGACGGAAACGACCACGACGCCAAAGAGGACGACGACGACGAACACGAGGAAAGACAGAGGACGACGTAGGCGACGATGACGACGACGACGACGACGACGACGCGGGAGGAGGGAGGACGGCGACGACGACGACGACGACGCAAGATCTCGCGCGCACGCTTTTGTTGAAAATCCGTGTTGCGAAACCTTGTGTTTTTGTAGGTTTTTTGGACATACGATTTTGAAAGAAACCGATGGGTTATGAAGGATTTCGGCATACGCGCGCGACGACGCGCGAATCTGCACTTCGTCCCGTTTTTTGCAGAGGATTCTCGCGACGGCACACGCGCAAGGGCGTTCGACAGATTGCGAAGGCCTTACGGCCGGTGCCGCCGACCCTGGAGGGCGACCCATGCGTTGTCTAATGTGGCGGGGGGGGCCTCTTGGGGGTATCTTTGGGTCTCGCGTGGGGGGGGGGGGTCGTGTTGGGGCCGTTGTTGTCAATCGTGAGGCTTTCTCGGGAGCGTCTTTGGCCGACGACGACGCCGTTGACGGCGGTAGCGATCTGGAGCTATTCTCAAGGGTCTCTCGGGGACTCTCTGGGGCTCTCTCGGGGACTCTCGGGGCCTTCTTGGGCCAGTTTGGGGCTTTCTCGTGGGTCTTTTCGACCGTATTGGGGGGGGGGTCTTGGGAGCCTTTGGGGTTGCTTTGGAGTGTTCTTGGGCTCGGCACTCTGGGGGCAGCTACCTTGCCCCGTGCTTTTCAGTAGCTACGTTGCGGTTACAGGGTGAGCCAACCGAGCCTCAGCTCATGCCGGATGAGCACGCGAAGCTCTTGTGGGCCTCTTGGGGCTTCCTGGGGGCCTCTTGGGGGTCTCGTGGTGGCCTCTTGGGGGCATCTTGGGGCTTCCTGGGAGCCTCCGTCGCCGAGGGTTCGTCGGGCCCCCCGTCTGGGCACCCTGTTGGAGCCGTTTGGGGAGCCTCTGGGGCCATCTTGGAGGCATCTTGGGCGGTCTTGAGGATCTCTTGGGTCATTTTGGGGCTCTCTTGAGGCCTCTTGGGCTATCTTGGGGCAATCTTGGGGGCATCTGGGGCCGTCTTGGAGCGTCGACAAGTTGAAACGGCGAGAACGCCAAAATCTGTCAGAACCTTTTAGGAAATCATTGCGTTTTCCCTCTTCGTGCCCTCTTGGGAGTGCTCTTGGAGACTTCTTGGAGCGTCTTGGCAATCTCTTGGGCCGTCTGGAGGCTACTTTGGCGTCTTCGACCGATGGTTCGGCGATTCGGGGCCCTCTGGAGCCGTCTTGGAAGCCTCTTGGGCCACTCTTGGCCAGTCTGGGGGCTTTTCTAGGTCCCCGGACATCCCGGGGGGGACGCGTATTTGCCCCCCCCCCCCCCCCCCCCACCCCCCCCCCGCGCGCGAAGCCCGTTTGGTAGCATGTTGTGAAAATCTTGAAAAACCTACTATTTTTTATGATTTCGCAAGAGCTCGCGCGTAAGCTTTTTTAGCAAATCAGTGTTGCGAATCCTTGTGTTTTGTATGTGTTTTGGAAACTCGATTGCGAAATCCTTCCGACACCGAAGGTTTTTGAAGGATTTCGGCATGTGCGCGCGACGACGCGCGCGTGTGCACTTCGTCCCGTTTTTTTGCCAGGGATTCGTGAGAGAGTTGGAACAAAAAATGTCCCCGCGTATCGTTTTTTACCAGGGAACCTCAGGGGAACCGATACCGGCCCCCCTGGGATAGTATAAATTCATATTTAGGATGGACATGTGGTCAGAATCATATATGATGTACGTACCCGAAAGGGGGGCGGATAACGCCGGGGGGTGGGGGGTAGAGTAGATTTGTTTTAGAAAGGAGAGTCAATACGCGGAGGGGGGCAGGCTACGACCTCGGGGTCTCCGGGGGAGAGAGGAGAGTAATACTCAGATTGTGTTATTGAACAGTAGGGCCCTGGTCGGATTTTGAGAGAGCTGGAGCGAGCCCCAAACGACGCCGACACCGACGACGACGATGACGACGACGATGACGACGACAAGAATGCCGACGACGACAACAACGCCGACGACGACAACAACGACGATGACGACGACGACGAGCAGAGCAGAGCAGAGCAGAGTAGGCGTAGAGCAGAGCATAATAGGAGTAGAGTAGGGTACAGTAGAGTCGAGTACAGTAGGGTGGGATACGGTAGGGTAGAGTAATGTCGAGCAGGGTAGAGTAGGGAAATGTAGAGCAGAGTAGAGTCGAATAGAAAACAGTAGATGAGTAGAGTAAAGAAGAAATAGAGTAGAGCTGAGCAAAATAGAGTAGAGTAGAGTAAGAGTAGAGCGGGAGCAATGTAGAGCAGAGCAGAGTAGAGTGTGTTAAGGTACGCTACAGTACAGTAGAGTAGGGTAGAGTATAGGAGAGGATAGTGGAGTAGAGTAGAGTAGAGTAGAGTAAAGTAACAGCAGAGCCCTGGCAGGGTTCTGAGAGAGCTGGAGCGGGTCCTGGCAGCATTCTATCAGAGCTGGCCGCCGCCGTTGTCGTTATCGCCGTCGTCGGCGTCATCATATGCGTCGTCGTCGTCAACGTCACCGTCGTCGTCGTCGTCGTCGTCGTCGTCGTCGTCGTCGTCGTCGTCGTCGTCGTCGCCTGGGGAGGGGGGTTCTGGACCCCTGAAACATTTTCCCGGGGAGGGTCTGGACCCCCCGAATCATTTCCCCCGGATAAAAGGGGGCGGGGATGAAGGGGGCCTTTGGACCCCCCGATTCGTTTTTGTTCGGGCGGGGGGAGGGGGGGAACGGGCTCCAGACCGCCAAGGTTTCTTACGTGGGAGGGGGGGGTCCCTGGTCACTGACGACCATCACCCTTGTAAGGAAATGTATCACGCCAGCGACGGTGGATCGCGCTCCCTCGTACATCACCGTCGATACCTTCACTCTTGCAAGTGGCCCGTCGCCCTTTCAGGTGTCTTCCAAACGTTCCCATTTAAGCCGGGCGTGTCCCTCTACAGGAGGAAAATTCAAAAATAGTCTCAAAAATAGTCTGAGGACGATTGTTCGATGATTTTCGACCATCTTGGAGTATATGTTGTTCTTCCAAGTTCCGCCCGTAGGAGGACATGACCGACCTAAGTGTACATTCCATTCCCCGTTCGTGGGCCGATCCTGTTGTCCAGCGACAGCAGCAGAGATTGGCTGTGCGATTGCCTGATGTGGCCTTGCTCCCTGCCCCGTTCCCCCGGCATTACCCTCCCCTCGTTACCCCTCTCCGCCTCTTGCTGCACCCCCCCGCGCCCGCGCCCCCACTCCGTCCGCCACCCTCGCATCGCTGCTCATGCCAGCGGCACTCTGCGCCGCTCCCCACCCCGCAGGGTGACTGAGGAGCCTGCGAGCCGGCGCGGAGGGGCGGCAAGGCATCGGGTAAACGCGCGCGGCCGATGCCTGAGAAAAGCGCGAGCCGCAGGGCCGCTTCGCCCCCTCGACCACCCGCTCCCTCCCTCCCCTGGCCCGCTCTGGGCGCGCCCTGGGCCCCCTGGCGCTCGCACTTGGCCGACCATTTCGACAGGGGCCGCCCGCGGAGGCGGCCACGTGCCCGCCCCACGTGCCTACGTGTCCTCGCACTGCTTGTGGCGTGGGCCTGACCTCGTGTGCTCGCAGCTTGTTGAGAGCGAGTTCGATCGGGAATGGCATTTGGGGCCTGGTGAGTTAGATGACCTTCGGCCAGGTGCTCAAGCGCAACCGATTTCGCCTGGCCGTGGGAGATGTGGACATAATGTTGGACGCGGGCGGCGAAAGGATCATCGAAGGTACGGTAAACGTGTTTGGGCACTATGTTCCAGTAATGTACGCAGTTCGTAGAAGACCACGTAAGATGTGTTTCCCTTCGTTCCCCGTGGTGCCGCGGCTTCGGATTGGAATACTGAGTAGGCTGGCAAGGCCGCAAACTCCCGATCGCGTCCCAGTTGCATTCGTAGTGGCTCGGATTGCGCCTAGATGCGGCGGACATTCAATTCCGTGTTGACCGTGTTGGACCGTCCGGGCTGGCTTTCTTTCTTCCGCGGCCGTGTCTTTTCATATTCAACGCGTGCAGATGCAGCCCGCCACGGTGCAGCCCGCATCTGCTTCGACTGCGAGGAATCTCTTGCTGCTGCGACGAAAGTTGGCGGTACTGGGGCGTGGAGGTGGTGTGAGATAATGTTCATCATCACCAGCATCATCATCATCACCACCACCATCGTCATCATCATCAACAACATCATCAGCATTACCATCATCATAGCCATCATCACCATCATCATCATCATCATCATCATCATCATCATCATCACCAGCATCACCATCCGAATCATCACAACCATCATGGTACCCTCTCGTCTCTGCCTCCCTCCCGCCCGCTTCCCCCTGCTCTCGGGCCCAGCCCTTGCTCCCGCCACGCTGGTCCGAGACTGAATTTGGAGCTGACGAGCACGGGCAGACGGGGCTTGATTTTTGCTGCAGGGGTCCGCACCCACCCCCGTCGCGTGCCTCCTGCACGATGGAAATGCGGACGGACACGGCGGGGGCGAAGGCCAGCAGCGAATTCCTCTTTTATTTTGGACCAAACTCGCGGTTGGTGTCGCTGCGGACGTGGTCGACTTGGGGCGCCGTCGGTTCTGCGCCACCGCTGCTGCTGGGCACCGTCCCCGTTGTTATCCGTCCCGACTTCGGGCGTGCCAGCCCTCCCTCCGGGCAGCTGGCCCGCGCACTTCTCGCGTCGACTGGCCCCGCCCTTTCGCGCCAGCACCTGTGGCGCCTCTCAGATGCAACGCCCGCTCGGGGCTGGGGGCGCGTCTCCCTCCAGAGCAGCTCAGCAACGCGGTGTCGCAGGCATCGGTGGCGGCCGAGGGTACGACGTGGCCCCCCCTTCGCGCTGGCATCGCACTCGGGCCTCCCAAATGGGGGCGGCCAGAGTGTTCGACACGGACCCGCTCGCGCCCAGATTGGCGAGCGGTCTCAGGTGGAACGCCCGTCTGGAGCATTGGGCGCGTCCCCTTTCAGAGCCCCATGACCACCGTGATGTAGAGTGCATCACGCTCTGGCCTCACAAAGGGGGCGACCAAGGTGTATGACACGGGCCGTTCGCGCCCAGACTGGCGGGCGCTCTCAGGTAAAAACTCCCGTTGGGCGCAGCGGGCGTGTCTCCCTTCAGAGCACCGCGGCACCCGCGATGTAGCAAGCGTCGAACCCGGGGCCTCCCGAAGAGGGGCGGCTAGAATGTATGGCACCGGCCTGTTTGCGGCCAGGTTGGCGGGCGATCTCAGGTAGGACGCCCGTTTGTCGGCGCGCGTCTCAGGAGGAGGAGGAGAAGGCCTTCTCAGAAGGCGGCGGGATTTCTCAGAAGCCCCCTCGCGCCGTCCGAGAAGCTTCCTGCGTCTTCGGGGAAGGCTTAGAGAACTTTTCAGAGAAGGCCGGGGGACTTCCGAGCCCGCTGAGAATGCCCGCCCCTTCTCACTTCCCCCCCTCGCTCGTCGCCAAGTTTGGAGCAGTGGGCGTGGTTCTATTCAGAGTTCCATGATCCTCTCGAAGGGGGACGACAAGAATGTACCACACGGGCCTGTTCGCGCCCAGATGGGCGGGTGCTCTCGGATCGAACGCCCGTCTGGAGCGATGGGCGTGTCTACCCTCAGAGCCCCAATGACCACCGCGATGTAGCAGGCATCCCACGGCAACAAGTGGCTGCGGTACAGTGGAGGCCCATGCCAAGAAACACCTTGCTCGCCTCCAGGGTGCCCTGGGTTTCTTGGGTTCCGATGGCTTTGCTGCGGGAAGCGTGCCGTCCCCACTCCAAACATATCCATGGACGTCCTGGCGTCTCAGGGTGGGATTTCTTGTGGAAGGATTCTTGTGGACTGGCCCCCACCGCACCCCTCCAGGGAGAGCCCCCTTGGAAGTGGGACTGTCGCGGCGAGGAGGCCGGACGGATCCTGGCGCAAGCCAGAGCACCGCCGCGCCGGCTTCGTGGGGCAGCTGGAGATGCAGAAGCACGTGCCCCGCGGCGCGCTGCTGGAGCGGCAGGTCCAGGAGGGTTCCCCCCTCCGGCTGCACGCTGGCCTCCGTGCGCGTCTGCACGGCACCGACAACGACTGGTGCCTGGCGGCCCCGGGGGCCCCTCGCCTCCTCGCGTGCCCGGCCGCCCTGGCCGGAGCCTCCTCGCCCACCCGTGCGCGGCAGGCCGCGCAGCCCCGAGCCGCCGCGCCGCCGGCCATGCCACCCCCGCCGCCGGGGCGGAGGGCCGCGCCGAGGGAGCGCAGAGGCCAGGAGGGGAGAGAAGGAAGAAACAGAAAAAGACACAGGGAGTCGTCGATTCCCAGGGAAGCGCGGAGAAAGGTGGGCATTGTGGGCGGGGGGAGGGGGGGGGGGGGGGAAGACGCCAGCCCAGAGAACACAGGCGAAGCCATGGGGCAGCATGGGACTTGTGCCTATCCGTTTGCGTGTGTGGCCCTGGGCCCATGGAGGCCCCGGGCCCCGCTTGGTTCGCCGCCCTCCGGCGGGTGTGCGGGCGGGGGCCACCGCCACAGCCGTGGCGGGCCTGCGCGGATGGCGGCGGAATGTGCGCGCGGGGGGGTGGGGGGGGCGACGGGGCCGGCGCGCGGTGCCTCCGGGTGGCCCTCTCTCGGGCGGCGGTGCGGCGGCGGTGCGGCCACGGCACCGCCTCCCGCCCCGAGGCGGCCACCGCGATGGGCGGCCCTGGTCGGAGCGCGGGTCGCTGGCCGTTGGGAGTTATAGTCTTAAGTCGGGCGTGTTTCTCGACAGGAGGAATATTCCCCCCCCCCCCCAAAAAAAAAAAGTCTGGGAACCATATTTGAGCATTTGTTTCGTATTTTGGGGGATTTGCGTGGCATTTGTTCCATGTTTCATCCAAAATCCCCCTGTAGGGGGACAGGCCCGACCTAAAGCTAGTCGGCAGGGCACTTCGCCACCCTTCGCGGCCGTTCCACGGGGTCCCTGGCGCGGTCTTGGAGGGCGGCATGGTTCACCCCCAGACGAGCCCGACGGCATGTCGATGGTGCCCAGTCTGCTCCCTCAGGCCCACCAGGGGCGAGCCGTCTTGAAAAACATGTGCGCTGGCCGAGGAATCGGCAGACTCGTGGACAGATTGGAATCGTGTGGTCGGCGTGGTGCGGAAACGCACCGATCTCGGCCACAGCTGGGCCCCCAGAGGGGCTCCAGACCCTCGCGTTCCCGCTCCCAGCTCCGAACACCGCCGAAGTCGACCATGCATTCTCGCTCGCGTGTGCTCATTGATTTTCTTAGTTCGGGCTCTTCGGCTCCAGTAGTCTCCCAGACAGCCTTAGATTGCCTCGAAACGCCTTCGAGACAGCCCCTGGCCAGTCGACGGCAGCCCCAAGACGAGCCAACACCTGCCGAGACCGCCCCGAGACGGCCCAAGACAATTCCAAGACGTATGAAAGAGACGGCCACAGGACCCCCGCACATGATTCAAAGGCTCCAGAGGCCAATCGCACCCGTCCAGACAGCTGAACACGGCTCTGGCCTGTCGCGGAGGCATTCGACATGCCCCCCAGGAAGATGCCCCAAGAACACAGAACGATATTTTCCAGAGCGGTTTTGTTTGTTGCCATGTGTGGCCCAGGACGTCCAGCATCAGGGCGTGGACTGGTGGCCTCTCGCCTCCAGCTCTGTTCGAGCCGTACGACTCTCTATTCCATTTCTAATTCTTGGGCCAGCAATGGCACTGGAGGCCGCGATGGCATTCTTCAACCTGACCAGTTCGGCAGCAGCGGAAGCCGTGTTGTGCTCGATGCTCATGGTGTGGTGGGCGTTCGGCTTCTACAGTGCCAGCCAGGCGCCTGCCACGGAGCTGAAGCCGGACCCATTCGATAACGAAGTTTCCACGCCGCACCCGGGGGCCCAGACATGCGTTGAGGCCCGGCCGAACGACCTGGACTTGGGCATCGATTTCGAAGCTTTCCGGGCGCAAATTGCGCGCCGGTGCGACCTGGAGCTGGACACCCTCTGCGACAGCACCATGGACGGTCAGAGCGCCAGAGTCCTACAGGATCTCGAGGACGAGTGGCGCCAGTGCGACCTGGAGCTGGACGCCCTCTGCGACAGCACCATGGAGGACCAGAGCGCCAAAGCCCTGCAGAGCCTTGAGGACGAGTGGCACCAGTGCGACCTGGAGCTAGACGCCCTGTGCGAGAGCGCCATGGGTGGCCAGAGCGCCATGGCTCTCGGAGTGGGCCCAGTGGTCGGCATGGAGTCTGGGCTGGACGTCCAGCCGAACGTCGAGCTGCATGGCGGCAACGCACGCGAGGGCGCGCTTGGCCACGCCAAGGATACCACGGATTGGTCGTTGGACGACCTTTGCGCAGCAGTGCTCAAGGCCCTCGAGCACGAGTACAGAAGTTCTGGCTAAAGATGACGATGACGATGACGATGACGCAA